GGATTTTGAATGTTTTCATCACTAGTAAATGATACATGCTTGAGGAAGTAACATTTACTCTGATTAGAACATTATGCAATGCATACATGTATCAAAATATTGGGTACCCTACAAATAAGTACCATAACTGTTCTGTATAAGTTGAAAAAGAGAAAAGAAGACAGGGAAGGGAGCACTTAGAAAACAACACTTCAGGGCAATGGTCTGTAGGGATCCTTTTAGGTAGGATAATTGAGGAAGACCTACCTGAGGAAGTGGTTGTGGGCTGAGTTCTGAATGACAAATAGCTGGCCAGGGAAAATCTGGGCATTCCAAGCAATAGAACAGAGAGAAAGAACCACATTGTTAGGTTCTGAAGAAGGAACGTGTTGTCATGCTGGGAGAAAAGAAGGAAGTCCAGTGTGGCTGGACCACCATTAACTGGGGAGAAGTAAACAGTATTAGAAATAGGTAGACCGTTGTAAGCCATACAAAGGAAATTTTACTCTAAGTTCATTGAGAGTTTTAAGCTCAAGATCATTTGGTTTGGCTAAGTATCTAAAAGATCTCTTCTGCTGTTGCATGGAGACTGTACTGCAAGGGGGGAAAGTATAGAAATGTGGAGAAAAAAGACTTAATATTTTTCTGTGTATATATTATCAGGATCCAAATCACATCTCTGAGGAGATCACCAATATAAAACAGTGACATGATGCAAGAGGAGCCCCCACGCCTACCTGTTCACTAACCATTTCCAGATAGGGCTTCACCTACCAAGCAGAAGGCTGGACACTAATATGAAAACTAATTAACCTTGAGTGAACAAGCGTGAGTTGTCAATCCTGGGATAACTGTGTTCTCTCTCAACAGAGCTCTACAGACTGATGGAACCAGCTAAGTGGACCTTTCTTTAGAAAGTAAGCCTCTGCACACCTTCAGCAGCTTTTGAAGGAGCTATCCAGGGTCCTGGACTAGCTTACCCCAATGCTTTCTAAGGTCCAGGTGGACTGTGCACTCAGTTATCCTTGTTGGATGTAAGCCCCCCACTGCATTGAAACATAACCGGATTCCACTCTGATACCATGTTGTCCCATCTCAGCTCACCTGTGGGTTAACACCTGCCTTGGCCCTGTATATTGGTCTAATGTTGAGTGACTTGAATACATGGTTAGAATATGAAGTGGTAACATAGTTAATGGTGTATAGATAGCCTTGGGCCCTGCTATGGCTCAGGTTTTCTGAAATAATAATGTAAGAGAAGTGAACTCGGTAGAACCATTTTTCCTTGGAGAAGCACTCAAAGATAATATCGGCTACCAAACGTATAACTAGATCTGCTTATGTAACTTATTCCATAGTCTCTACCTAAAACACACCTTAAGGCATAATCCAATGCCCACAATGATTACTAAATTCATAGAATATTCAATTTCATCCTTCTGACTTTAATAGCATTCTTAACTTTGCTTTTTATTTTTTTTTTAAATGCATTCAACTGGAGGCCATTACTCAATTTCTTAAGTAATCAAGTTTATAGACTAAGTAGTGGATAAAAATTTGTGTGCTTTCAAGTCAAACACTTTACCTCTTCAACCAAAACACTTAGAACTTGAGAATAATCTGATGTATACTCACTCCTAGCTCTCTTCTTAAGTAACATGAAAAACAGGGAGAGCCGCAGCCTCTTCAGAACTTTCCACCTACGTGCCAGCCCCTCCACTGTCCTTCAGTGTGTTTGAGGGGCAGTGTGATTCATAAAGAGCCACAAAAGTTCAGTAAAACCTTTAGTTCCAAGTTATCAAGACTCTGATGAGAAAAACAGGATTGGAAACATTTAAACTTGCTCTGGCATATCCCCTTGTAGCAGCACAAACCAACACAACACATGAAAATAGCATTAAAATGGAAAGGGAATCAACAGCCTGGAATGTCTCTGTTCAATCTAATAGCAAATGAATCTTGTGAAGTTTTATTCACAGAACTCCCTGCACTCTATCTTCCCCCCTGACCTTCCCTCATATTCCCATGCTATAACTAAACATTCTGTCCTTCACCTTGCTCACTTATCTCATCCTTCAGACTTAATTCTAATCAGGAAACTTTCTCTGAGACCCTTACTCCCTGGGACTGAGTCAAGTTTAAACTTCTGTAAAACGCTGCATTCACCTGGAGCTTGACACTTGTCACACTGTAATTTAATAGCTGGTTTATTTATTCATTTCTACTTCTACCTTATAAGCTCAATGAGAGTAGGGACCAGGTCTTTTCTATTATTGCATCCCCCTGGGCTTTGCATAGTACTTTTCCTAGTAGAAATATTCAATGAATAAATTAATAAATTAATGAACTTAATAGTTTTAAGGTCCCTCTGTATCTCTAGAAGTAATAATTTTGCCTTGTTTCTAGGTTTCTTTCAGAACTTCATACTCAATCTCCACCCAATGGAAGAAATTTTATATATATGACCACACCATGATATATAAGAACTTTCTGAACCTAGATAAAACTCTCATTTTTATATGGTACAATTTCAATGAAATTCTACTATTTAGTCTGTGAATACAAGATGGAGATTAGTGTGTGTGTGTGTGTGTGTGTGTGTGCGCACGCACGCACGTGTGTGTGTGTAAAGTATCAAAGAGTAAGCAGAAATTATTTTTAAAAATTGAACTTGAGGTAAAAACCATACCAATAAGCACATTTTTCATTGATATTTTTAAGTGTATCTTTCTTTTTTCTTATTTTCTGGTCATATGTCTTAATGCCTGGAGATACTACTAAATATGATGGGAACTTGTGTAGTTTATTACTAATGTTGAAAAACTATGATGAAAATAATTTGTAAGAATACTGCTATTGTTTCTTGGAAGACAGCCATCTCTACTTTCAATTTCAATAAGTTTCCATTTATAACTGACACTATTTTCTTCTCTTACATTTATCTATTATTTTCCTTATCTTTTTCATAAAGTAACACTTTATCTATACTAACTTACTATACAATTATGTCATGAGAACCAGTACTTTTGTTTCCCCCAAATAAACTTCTCAAACAACTCTAAATTCTGTGGGATTATGAAGTATGTCTTTCACATTTTCTATTTCCTTCAGAAAAGAACAGAATAAGTTCTCAACAAAGCATGAATAATCAGAACTTTAGATTTAAAAACCACCCATTTTTTCCATAAACTGTGATATGTAGACTAAATAAAATCAATAAATATTAAATCATGGATCAGTAAATGATGCTCTACCAGCTAATTCTGGTCAGTTGTCTATTTTAACAAAGCTTTATTGACATATAGCCACTCTCATTTATTTAAATATTGCCTGTGATTCTTTGCAAGCTACAGTACCAGAGGATAGTACCTGTTACAGGGATTGAATGGCTTGCAGAAGCTAAAATAGTCACTATTGGGCCCTTCAAAAAAAAAGAGAAAACTTTGTGGACCCCTGCACTACTCTAAATCATTTTTACTGATGATGGAAATAAGTCCCTGATATTTGACTTACCTAAGTATATAGCTGAACCTATTCACTAACCTTACCTTTATCAGATACATTTTCATTATTGGATTAAATGCTTAGTAAAAATAGTATTTTAGATTATATAAAATCAAATCAACAGTAAAACCACAAATGAAGATGTTTGTCAGACTTTTAAGTATTTATACTAACCTTAACCAAGATATAAATTTTAAATTTAATTTTTCTGAATTATGATAGTATCAGCTAGTAAAATTAATAGTGTGTATACACACACACACACTTACGTATTTATTGCCAGATAATATCACTAATTGTTATAAAAACACTGACAAAAAAGTACAAGTCTTACAGCAGAGTTTTAAAGATATTGAAAGCAGTAAGTGTCAAGAAAAATGCTTTTTAAATGGATCACATTGACCTCACAGTCTACTCTATTAAGATATGAACAGCTTTTAAAAAAATTCCACTGGCAATGGAAGGAAAAATAAATAGTATGTACCACCCCTCAGTTTTCATGCCATATAAGAGCTGTGAAGAGCCATAGCAGAAAGTTCCTGAGAATCACTTCTTCTGTCAGTGTCTATTAATTTAGCAGACTCTAGTTTTTAACAAGTTACTTAAGTCTAGATTTCTGGAGAGGGAATTGTGAAAACTCTCTCAGAAATATCCTTAGTATCTATAGACCAAGCTTCACAGAATCTGAAAAAGTAAAGGGATAAGAAGAGAAAAAAATATCCTCCTATTAAAACAAAAGGTAAATTCAGTAAGACTTTTTGATAAAGGATCTGTAGAATGGATATTTTAGTAGTAAAAATGATAGACATCTTCCTAGGTTGTCCTGTGAAATACCACAACATGGACAACCCTGGAGTAGACATAAAATGTAGCTGGCACTATATCAGAGAAGCTGCAATTGATAAACCCTATACAACAAAAAGATTGAGCAGGCAGCAGAATGAAATGTTACAGTTGGATACTTCGTAACTACTTGGACTGATGCTATATCCCCTATTTCAAGTCACTAGATATTTAGTCTGCTCATATTAGCAAAAGGTCATGTCATCCATTGAGACAGGAAAGAGATCGAAGAGAGGAAGGGAACAAGCTGCATAGAAATGGTCTGGACTAAAGATCAGAACAGAATACTAACCTGGACAAGGCCAAGGTAAGATAACTATGCACAAACAATATAGTACATAAGCTTAGCTGCTTGCAGAACAGGAATGTCCATCTGCCAATTCCCAATCAGGGCAGAGACATTTCCTTTTATTTCAGAGACCCAGCTACTACAGTCCCCCTCTATAGAATTTGTGGAGACTGTAGGAACCTTGCCAAATGGAGGAAGCAGAATTACTCAGTCACAGCTTCCCTGACATCTGTCAGCTCCTGTGAGATTCCATTTCTTCTCTGTATTTCTACCAAAGATGCTAGTGGGACCCACTGGTGTTAAGTAGCTGATTGTGTCTTCCTTCCTTGGTCATTTCTGATCTTTGGACCAAACATAGAATAAGTTGATTTCAACACACTATTACCTTGAATACTCCTCTTGAAGAAAGCCTTACAACCCTCACAGGACCAGACTCCATAGTGGTAGCCAGAGGCATAGTCATTGCATACTGCACAGTAGCGAGTCTCCTTGGCAGATTCCAAGGCCAGGCTTCCCTTGTCACTGTTACTGGTCAATCTCTCTCTGCCACTCTGGCGACGATTATCTGAATTTGGCCTGAGGGAGAAAAAGGGAAGAAAAAGGTGAGTCCATTATCATCAGAAAAAACAAAATATGTATTCTCCTCTAAAGAATAAGAGGCTTAGGAGATGAGCAGATTCACTTTATCCTGACATTTTGAAATAATGAATCATAATGTAAGCTAATCTTTTGTTACTTCTTGCTGTTTGCTGCCACAAAAGGTGATTGCCTACTGTATTAACCTTGAGGGAAAATTGTTTGTTGCAAACTTGCTTAAGAAACAGACTGTCTATCCCAAAAAATGCTACCCCTAAAAAAAATGACAAAATGAAATTAGCTGGTTTCTAATAAGCGTCTTTTCTCAAAACTTACAATTAAATCAGAACTGTTAAAGGCGAAGGCTCATTCTGATTCTAGACCACAGAAAGGGTCTTTAGGAAATAGAAACAAAGCATAGGACAGCTGGAGCATTGAAATTCCAATGAATTGGTGAACAATGTAGAACACATGTCAAAAAATCAACAATATAAATGTTTATGTTACTGTTACCAGGTAAGCCTGGTTATGGATTTTTAAAACTTGACTATAACTTAAGGGTGCTGTTCTCCACTATTCAAAGTCCTCTTTAAGAACATATAGAATGAGAAGAGTGGAGGAACACCAATGGTTACCTCCACCTTTAATGATTTCATGGAAGAAGCATATCCCAGAAATGAAATTGAAAAATAAACAGAAACAAAGCATGGTGCTAGGAGAACCAAGAAAATGGGGAAGTAAAAAGCTTTAAGAATGATTTGAGGGCACTCAATAATGCCAAATGGAACAGAGAAGTCCAAGGAAACAAGCACTGATAAAGTGAGTTTGAATTTGACTAAGAGAACATTCAGCAAGGAGTTCTGGGAGAAAGGGTAGAGGTTCCAGCCAAACCCCAATGTGGATGCCAGTGGGGGATGTGAGAAGATGAGTGAGGCTCTCCAAATCTTGGAGAGCTGGTATGGGAATGGCTCAAGAAAGATTTCATGTAAGTATTTAAAGAATATAATGCCACCCCCCAAAGGATTTTTATAATGGAAGAGGTTACAAAGCCCTCATGCAAACTGAAGGGAATAGACCAGCAGGGACAGAATGGATGAAGGCACAAAGAGAATAAAAGAACAAAGGCAAGAAGGAAACTAAAGAAGCTGTCCAAGGAGCCACCTGTGGAAGATACCTTGAAGAAGACCGTAAGAAAGGAGGAATGGGAAGAAGTAGATGAGAAGTTTGCATTTCTCATGTGGCCAGGTATAGAAGCAGAAGTTAGGGTGGCCTGGGATTTTCTAGACATGTGACAACCAATACAGGTTGAGTGTAAGGGATTGGGGGTGGAGGGGTGTTGGTCAGAGGGCAGCACAGTGCCTGGAATGTAGCTGGCACTCAATGATACACATGATGAATGAAGAGTGTGTACAAGGTGATTGGGAAACAGAGGTTGGCAGATATTGTAGAGGTAGATGGGGTAAAGGTTCCTACAAGATTTTCAGAACTCTAAAAAGAGATACAGTAAATTGAAAATAGAGCTCCCAGGATCTCGTGGTTAAGGAAGCTGCAGCCATGCTGAGTTCAACCGATTCCCCCCTTTACAGCCCTTTTTTCTTGTTGCTCAGATTTTATAACCTTTCCCTGCCCTTCGCACTTACTAATATTGTACACAATTTTTTGTGTGTCTCCAACTACATTTGCCATAAAATTCACAAAACATTGGTCCCTTGGGTTAAGTACATCTGATTTGCCAATTTTTTTCCATTTGGAATAACTTAGCTCTGAGGTTGGCAGCCTCAAATAGGAATTCTTTATTTTTTAATGATCCTGAGAGAGCACTGGACCTCAGTTTTCAATCCTAGTTCATATTCTGTTACCCATCTCTTTCCATTTCACCACTATGCTGCTGAATGCCCCCCATCAACCTCAGATCTTTTTACGGTTTGTTTACTAATGTCTTATGCATGATTCAAGTCAGTAGGAAGCCACTGTGAATATTTAACCTTAGGAATTCAATCCCTTGGGGGTGTGGGAGTGGATAATGAGAAAGCATGAAATGGATAGATATACTGTCTTGAAAACCTTATTAATTGTTGCAGACAAGAACCTAACTCAATGCCTAGCACACAGCAAGCATTCAATACAAGTGTGTTGAATGAATGAATGAATGAACGAACAAAAGGTATGCATGGGCAACTATTCCAAGATGTCAAATATACTCCCATAATTCTCATACAATAAAGTACAATTGACTCCCAAATCAAAAAAGCTTTTAATTTTCAGTAGTCAATAGGTGGGCTGGGAAAGGAGAGACATGCAACAGTTTGAAAAAACTTTCACATAAACATTGTAGCCTAGAAATATAGAAAAAAATAAGAAAAAGATATGGCATGAATGCATAAAATATATACATATGTAATAGTCTATTTTATCACTACCATAAGTTTTAAAAATTCATTATGAAAAGTTAAAAGGTATCCAAACTTAGCCACAAAAATACAAAATCTAGTTGGCACCAGGTGCAGTACAGAAATGTAAACAAAGGTAAAGAATTAAATCATAATTGTATAAAACTAACTGTGTACACTGTACTACTGTCATAGTTTCATAACCACTTCCAGTTGCAGCTAGCTCAAGTGTTGCCAATATCCACGAAAAACACTCATGAAATGCATATGGCAGTAAAAAAGAGAAATCTCATAGTTCATGAGTAATTTTCATCACCCATAATACATATAATATGTAAAACGTGTGTTCAAGTTTAAGTCTGTTTATATTTTATTGTTTAAGTCTGTTTATGGTATCACTAAGGCTTCTGGTTAAAGGGAGGCTCCTAGTAGTTGGATTTGGCGCAGTCAAAAGTTATTCTTGGGAGTTTGATTGGCAGCAGGAGGGCAGAGAAGCCCCAGGGAGCCCTGAGCAGTCCCTCTGCCACCTCTGGCTTGTCACCATCACCCCTGCCCGGGGAACCATAACCACTACCAGAGCTGCAAGGCCCAAGCCCGGAAGGCAGCAGGTGCAGCGGCCACCAAGCGCGGCACCACGGACAGCGGCGCAGGAGCCTAGCGCGGGCGGCCACACGTCGGCGGCACCTACCGGTGGGGACACAGCTACCGCAACCAAGGTTTGGGTCAAATGGTTCAATGGAAGAAAAGGACATGGTTTCATTAGCGGGAATAACACAAAGAAAGATAAATGTATATGCCAGACCGCCACAAAGAAGAGTAACCGAGATGTCCCTGAGCAGGGTCGGAGGAGAGACGTAGGGGTTGGATGCCATTGGGGAAAAGCGTGCGAGGCAGCCCATGTTACAGGCGCTGCTGGAGCTGCAATTCAAGGCATTAACTATGCGACAGGCATGACCATTATATGTGCTATCCACACAATCAACAGCAGAACTTCCAGAATAGAGAGAGCTCGAGAGAAGGAGGGACCCCAGCGCTCCCAAAGTCCGTGCCCAACAACACTGGCCTACCACCGGCCCAGGTCCCCACCTTACTTCACCTGGAGACCCCACAGACATGGACCACAGTATTCCACCACTCCTGTGCAGGGAGAAGCCATGCATGGTGCTAACAGGGGAAAAGGTGGACCAGAAAGACAAAATAGGAGCGAGGGCTATAGACAGGTTGCTCCAGGCCCTGCTCACCAAAGGCAGCGTGGGGAGGGCCACAATGAAAAAGATCCGGAATGTCTTTACCTGTTGGTCAAATAACTCAAGCTACATAGTCTATACAGCATAGGGTTTTTACTATTTTTACCTAAAGACATGTCTTTTTAGTAATGAGAAATGTGTTCTTTTTAAAAGCATAGGTTTTTCTTTCTCTAAAATTTTGTTTCATATATGATCAAATTGAGTCTTTTAAAGAAGTTTATTTTTAATGTGCAATAAAAAGCTTACAACTTGATTTTTAAATAAACAAACTTTAAACTCCTGGTAAATAAAAGTCTTAAATAATTTTCAAAGTTATATTCAGATATTTTAACTGAACAGGAGGTCAGCACCTCTAACCCCTACATAATTCAAGGGTCAACAGCACTGCATTTTTTAAAAACTGTGGTAAGATACACATAGCTTAAAATTGACCAACTTAATCATTTTTAAGTGTATGAGTCAGCAGTGTTAACTATTTTTACATTGTTGTGTAACCATCTTCAGAAATGCTCCACATTACAAAACTGAAACTCTAAACCCATTAAACTCCCAATATCCCCCTTCCTTTATCCCCTGGCAACCACCATTCTGCTTTCTGTTTCTAAGAACATCACTATTTCAGATGCCTCCCATAAGTGGACTCATTCAGTATTTCTTTTTGCTGTTATTGTTTATTTGCAGGGCGGGGGGGGGGGTTGGCTTGTTTTGTTTAGAATAATGTCCTGAGGTCATTGTGGATAATTCTGCCATAAACATGGATGTACAAGTATATCTTCAAGACCCAGCTTTTCTATTCTTTTAAATTTATGCTGAGAAGCAGCATTCTTGGACCACCTGATATTCTGTTTACTATTTTGAGGATCCATCATACCATTTTCCATAGTGGTTGCACCCTTTTCTATTCCCTCCAAGGCACAAGGGCTCTTACTTCTACATGTCCTTGTCAACACTTGCTATTTTGCCCATCTGTCTTACAGTGGCCATCCTAGTGAGTATGAGAGGAATGCTGCGATTTTTTACATCACCTTCAGCATTGTGTTCCTTCCCTGCCCGCCACTCCACAGACTTGAAATATCTCAGCCTTTCTCTGGACTCTCTGACAGGTTTTTTGGTACTTCTCTTCTGCTATTAGTTACATTAATCCTTCCTGTGATTTATTTTCAACTTCATAGCTGTCTGCAAAGTTCCTTGTGTCTAATTCATCTTTGTAATGCCAAGTGCTTAGAGCACAGTGTCTCATCCAAAAGAGAGACTGAATAAATATTGATCACAAATAATTAATCCATAACTGGACCAATGATGTGATCATTTTCACAATATAAATGGAGTAATCAACGTTGGTCTTTAAGGTTTTGGTAAAAAT